TGCCCGAGCCACCTCAACTGGCTCCTCTCGACGTGGAGGAGCAGCGGCTCTACTCTGAGTCCCTCCCGGATGACATGAAAGCATGAATCATTTTCTCAAAATCACTAAAACAAAAACAGTTCTTCACTTTGGCTAAAAGACGTAAATAAAAAAACCTGACTTGACAACTGAATTAACTTGCGTATCCAGTTTCAAACAGCTGTCAAAGACAACACCAAGGTTTCTAACAGCTGTCTGATAAAATGGAGATAAACATCCAAGAATTGCATCAGGGACACTTCTAGTATTTTTATGTCCAAATAAAACTTAATTTAACTTAAACATCTCAAGATAAATGAAAGAAATTCTAAATTTTAAGTGCAAATGTTTAACATCTGAACATTTTATAAACATCATAAACATTTCATGGTTTTGTATTTTAGACTACACCTGCCCCTCAGATGGACAGCTCCTGTAGTTTGGCCTTCAGGATCTTTGGCCTTGGCTAAACCACAGAGAATTATGATGAACAGCAGAAATATTACTAATATTTATTAAATGAGAAAAAGATTTTTAAAATAATGAAAGTAACATGAAAAACTCTTCAATTTAAWTTGTATTTGTTGAACTGAATGTATCTCTCAGTTAAAAGAACAAAGCTGTGTAGTCATAAAACCATTTTCAGAACCTGGAACAGAACTGTGGTGACACTGATTATATGTAAAAGCAGCCTGCCATACTGGTGAGCTTCCTCATGCTGCTGGAGTGATCTGCTGCTGCTGCGCTCCCAGAACCAGACTGCAATCTGGACTTTACTACTGAGACTTAAGAGCAACAAACCATCCACATTTAATTTACAATGTAGAAAGATATAAAAATAAATTTAACTAAAAGATTTTTAAAAAATTCGACTCTGGTTTGAAAAACATTGAGACTTTTTGTTTCAGCGGGCAACCCCACCCAAACCCACCCTTGAACGATGGGGTGCACCACTGCAACCGCAAATATTTTGAAGGTGCACTATTAAAAAATAAGGTTGCATTTGCGACCAAATTACTGGCACTCTAGAGCCCTGGTGTTTTATTGTCTCTTTCTTAAGATGAACTAAACAACTGTTTATTGAAATGACAACTAAATATAAAATGGTGATAAGCAAAAATAAATAAGTCTTTCATGCTAAATGAATGGACAACACAACGAGTGACTTTAGTCAGTGAATTTTGATTCGATCCATCAATAAATGCGACCATTTATTTACATAATCAAACCAAATCACTACAGTACACTTAATTGTGAGCAATCAATTTCCTATAAAAATTTTAAGAATCAATAACAATCCAGATCGTGTCCAAACTTAATTGTTCATCAATTCAGCACTTAAATAGGCAGCAAATATCAAGCTTAGGTTTTGAATACCAGACATTTGAAGTAAATAACTGAGGTTGGCAAGGTAAAGGTTTAAGAGAAAGGAGGAAAGTAACACATTAGTTAGTTCCTAACTCATAACCTTATCTTTAATAATGTGGGTATTTAACCAGAGGACACATCTTCCCAGCTGGCCATCAGCTGGAAGTTAAGTTCGCTCTAACAGCCTTTACTTTAGATGTGGCTTTACCACCATGGTTCAGGAGGACTTCACCTGGTTGGCAAAGGAAATCCATCAGGTTTTCTTGCACAGGTGTTGAACTCCAGTGTGTTATTTCCAGCGTCTCCTAACTCCACGTCACAACCACACAGGATAGATGGGCGTCTCTGGGTCCTRACTCAAATAAGACTTCCTTCCCACAGGAAGTCAAGACAAAGTTACTTTGTGAGCTGTTAATCTCTTGTTAGGTGGGCACGACAGGAGTGTCATGACCTGTGGCTCTCTAGGTTCCTCGTTGGCAATAAGGGGTCAAACCTACAGCCAAATCGCTGTTTCTCCAGGGAGAAAACAGCTGAATGTTGTGGACGGCAGGGAGGTCCGTCTCTTTCTAATCTCTGGGTGAAACACTGTTAGTTACTAAAGAGCAAGGCTTTGGTTCCACCCTGAGTCAATAAGGTTAGTACAGGATGATAAGGAAAGTGTTAGAAGTTGCCAAGGCMRGACTTATCTAACATAATTATTGCTTCTGTGTGGTTCAGAAACACAACATTTTGTTTAGGTATTCTCTGATGAGAACTCTTTAAAAACATAACTGAAAGAATGAATTACTTCAAACTCAAACATTTGCAAATATGATTCAGACAAAGACAACAGTGATGTTTCATCAACTTCATCAACGTACACAGTTGAAATCATACTGAGGGAGAAAAGAGATCTGTTCTCTTTCCTCCTGTAACTTTGATAAACATTCTCTCATTATCAAAATGTGTAATAACTTTCAGTTAAGAGAACAATAAATTAAATAAGATGAAGAATCTGCTGATCCAACAGAAGTTTCAAACTATGGGCCAATTTCTGTTCTTCCTATTTTTTCTAAGTTACTTGAAAAAAC